TATATATATATATATATATATATATATATATATATATATATATATATATATATTTAAATATAATCAAGGTCAAGAACAAAACAAAACATTTGGACGACATCGTTTTTTTTTTTTGAGTTTCGGTTTTTCAATATTTATTCATTTTTTATTTTTTTGAGTTTCTATTTTTCAATATTTATTCACTTTTTTTTTTTTTTTTTACTGTGTCCCTCTTGGTGAAGACAGGGCCAAAGAGAACCATTCTGAAAAAGGAAGAACAATTTAAAAGATTAGAAGAAAGTATTTCTTTAATAGTCAAAAAGTGTGAAAGAAAAGCGCATCCAAGTTCTCCTCTCACCTTGTGTTAGACGGCCGGCACAGCGGTGCTGGGGACTGATTTCTATGCAGCTTCTTTGGCCTGATGAGCCTGCAGCACCGCTACTGCTTCATCCACCTGGAATATTAAGTATATTTTTATATATAGAATATTAACCCTTGTGCGTCAATTTAAAAAAAAGTTACACATAGGTTCAAAAAGCTTAGGAGTACAGACTTAAGTTTGGTCTCATTTAAAAGAAGACCCTTGGCAGATTATTGTTGAAGTTAAAAACGTAAAAAATTTAAACCAAAAAAGTTATAGAGGTTTATGTTTATGAAAATGATCCATGAGCACAATTTTTTTTATAAAAAAATATATATTTTATAAAACATGTTGAACACAAAAATTGCCAGAAAATCAAAGCCATAAATCTAAACCAGTTGTGTTCCAAATTTGAGGTTGATATCTCAAAAAAATGAGCTTTTATTAAGATTTTGTTTGGATGCAGTACCAAACCTTTCCCATTAGATTCCAGCAAAGCTCCGCTGGCATACACAGTGGTGTACAGTATAATTTCTCTCTCTTAAACATTACAGGAGCACACACACAAACATTTTTTAGGACACATATACAAACCACACTCTGACATCCATACCAACACACCCACACAATTATAGCTGCATAATTTATCCAACTGGCTCTATAATACAGCAAAAGCAGAAAACAAGAAACATTTGATTATAGGCCAAACCTGAGAAAATGGCACCATCTGGTAATTTTTTTTACAATTTAAATTTTGAAGCCTTGCCAACAGAATGAAAGCTTATTAACAAAGACTGCATCATTTTATAGTTAAATGGCCCTGAGATTAATGATTCCAGTTTTAATGGGTTTCAATGAGGACATTTTTGTCCTTAAGGTCCTGAAAGGAACTATTTTTTTGTACCTACTGTAAAATAGATTTATTAAAGGAAATGAAGGTCAAATATTTACATCCAAAATGTATGCAGTTGGCATTAGCACAAGCAAAATGATCAAAAAACAAAACCGAAAGAGACAAAAATGTCCATAAGGTCGCACAAGGGTTAAAAAAAAATTAAGTTTTGGTTTGGGGATAAAACACATTCTTGACATTTCATTATCACTAAAAGTGGTGAGATCACCGCTATCAGGAAAAACCCAATAACAAACAACAAAACTGAGCATCCCATGAGCACTGACCTTTGACCTCAGGGACTCCGGAGACTCCAGCAAGTGCAGCAGCTCAGAGTTGTCGATCTCCAGCAGCATTCCGGTGATCTTTCCAGCCCGATTGGGATGCATGTTCTGGATGAGCGGGAACAGACGCTCACCTGTCACAGAAGAGAGCATGTATTTAGATATTCCATTGAAATTCTATTGATTTTTTTAATTGACATACATTTTAAAATATGCAATTGACATTTAAAAAATACACGTAAAATGCAAATATAGGTATACTATACATAAAAACAAAAATGAGAAAATAAAATCACATTTTGGTGTATATTTTATATATACATAATTGGATTTAATGTGATTCAAAATTCAAATTGTAAGTACTTGAAAAAGTACTTTATTGTTTCAAATAACTAAAGTGTCAAAATATGGTTTAAATGCAACTATAAAAGATAGTTAAGTAAAATGAATCTACATACCTATTCTGACCTATACCAACTAAATATATATATATATACATAAGAATTAGTATACAATTATTATGTATTATACAGAACTTTATTATATTTTAAATGATTAAAAACATATTGCTGACAAATGAGTAGAACCTAGTGGTTTAAAGGATAATAATGTACGTTGGTAAAGACTTACATTGACAATTAGTATTTTTAGGGCTGCACTGTGATCCTTAAATAGAGACTTTTAATGACATCTAAGGATTCTAAATATGCCTGACAAGATGTTTTGGTATATGAACTATTCTTGCAATGAATGGCATTTCAGTAGGTGTCTTCTGTAAATCACATTAAAAACGTATGCAGTCTTATTTTTTGCTCAGAAAAAAATTAAATGAAACGGGACACATTCTAATACACGAAAAAAGCAAAACAGGAACAAGAGGATAAACTCACCCAGCATCTGCTTCTGTTTTTGTGGAGGGGCGGCAGCCAACATGGACGCCGTCAGAGGCTCCTGACCCTGAACGTGGACAGCAGGCTTAATGGGAGACAAATACATAAACGTTAAGGAACACTTTTTTGTGCAAGATACACAAGCAAACATGCACTCTGCGACGTTCTGGGGCAAAAAGCAAGTCAAATTTAGAAAACCCCTCTTCACTTACACATGGTTTCAGAGCAGCTTGACAGTAAATTATGATGTTAATGTTTATAATATCTTAATATCTTCATCTTCAAAGTCACATTTATCAGATTAGAACTGGACAATAACAGTTACATCTTGCAACAATATAATCAAGCAGTTGAGATTTGCTAAATAGAATTAAACATTGCTTTATGCATACAATGAAGTTGCAGAGTTATACAGTATATCTATCTGTATATAAAGAGCTAGATAAGTTATATTTTGTGACAAAAATAAATTCAGGCAGTTGAGACTTACTATATAGTAGGGATGCACAATATTATAGGACTGATATTGGAATCTGCCGATAATGGCTTTAAATGTAAATATCGGCATCGGCCCGATATGAAAAATGATGCCGATAAGAGGAATACATTAACTCACATGTGCTGAGGGTGTGCTAGTGTTTAGATCACGTCAGCATTGTGGTTCATTCTTGAAGCAAAGTTTTGCCTGAATGGTGATTAGATTCATTGTTTTGGATCGCTGCATTTAAACTGAGAATGCACGTACAGTGTGTGATAAGAGTAAACAGTAATAGCAAGTGCAGCGGCAGCCTCCCCCGGTCCTAATGCTCGTTCGGTAACGAGTTTTAATTATGTAGGGGGCGCTGTTGGTCTACGTCTAATAAAATGAAAGTAAAATACACAAATAACATTTAGACTGTTTCTAAATAAAGCAGTAATTGATGTCATAAAATCAGGAGTATGTTTTGATATAAAGGTCAGAAGCTATACCTTACATAAAAAAAAAAAAACACAAATATGACACTTGTAAATTTTATTATTTTATATATACTGATTTATTCATTATCAGTATGTCAGTATCAGCATTATCAGTATTATCATGTGTAATATGTTATATTTTTAAACAAACTATGAGCTCTAAAAGATTTTCAGAATTTTTACAACTTTTTTGCTTTAGACCATCTACAAATGTTAAACCTTAAAATAAAATGTTAAGGTTACTACTACGTCTTTCTGAAAAAATAAATAAATAAAAAAAATGTAGTGGTTGATATATAGTTTATTTATAGTTAAAATAACTTCATAATTGTTTATTTACCTCTAACAAATAAGCTCTTGTTAAAAACTAACCAGTGATATGATGCAATTTCAAGTTTTCCTTTCTCTTTGGAGTGTTACAAGCTGCTCGTGCATAGATAAGATCTGTAAAGTTGCAAAGACTAAAGTCTCAAACCCAAAGAGATATTCTTTATAAAAGTTAAGACTCGTCCACGCCTACCTAAAACGTCTCGTTCTAACAAGCCCCCACATGTCTACATCACTATGTGGGAAGATATTTAGCGATGTCACATGACCCCATAATTTGCTTATAATTTCCACACAGGAGAGACTTTGTGTTGTTTCCAAACAAAAGGAAATATATCGGTATTGGCATCGGCTATCGGCCAAAATGAGTTGAAAAATACATCAGACGGTTAATTGTGGCTTTAAACTATTCTTTATGTTCAGTGCATGACAAACACTTCGTTTTTGAATTCTTTACACTTTTCCAGTTATTTTTCCTTAAAATAAATATCTTAATAGAAAAAAAGTATTTCTTAGTTCTGCATGTTCTAATGAGTAATATTGTTTCAAATCAAGAAACAGGTTTGTGTTGCCTGATAATATTAACAATATACATTTTTTTTGTCTCTTAGAAATACACATTTGATAGTAGCTTGAGTTAGGATGCAGATGTATATTTATATTCATGATCAAAATAAGTAATATCTGTAAAAATCGTAGCAATCTTATTTTATATGGCGAAATTTAATTATTCTGACTGTTTGAGGTGTTTTTTTTAACCATTGGTCTTCCATAGTAGCATACATTTAGAATGATCATGATAAGTAAAAAACACAAATATAGCACCTCAATAGCATGGTACAAATGTAATAAGGCTTCTAGGTATTTGTATGAAAAACAATAGTCTAAATACATTTAGTATAAATGCATAAACGCTATAGCTTAATCACAAAAAAATACTGTAATTATATTCCATTACTCCTCCTTCAATACATTTAATACATGTCCAAATTAATAATATAATTAAATTTGACACGAACAGTGACCAACATCAAAGACTTATCGAACTCTTATTATTGTTTATCGAGGAAATGTATATCGCACGATAATTATCGTTATCGATTTATCGTCCAGCTCTAGTGGATGAAATTGAATACATCTAACCTTATACATAAAGTTAACATTTTGCAATATGCAGTGTTAAAAGCTATGCAAGGTGCAAAAGTTATGCAAACTTTTTATTAGGGATGTAACGATTCACTCAACTCGCGGTGCGATACACGATACTGATTTCACGATACGATTTTCTCACGATTTTTAACAAAATGAGAGGCGGACAATAGTGAAGTATGTTTACTCTGCTTTAAAAGTGCTTTTCAAGTGTCTGTACTTTATCAGAGTGTTTTTCTTTAGAAAACTTTACTTCACACTTTTTTACTGCACTACGTTTCATATTAAATATCATATAATACTTAATTACATTAGAACTCTATTACTTTCTTTCTTACTTTTACTTGAGTTAAAGTAATTCAGAGATTTACTTGAGTACAAGAAAGTACTACATTTGTAATGTTCTTAAGTATTAAAGGTAAAACAAACAATAACTTTTATTTATGAAGTATAGTGCAGTAAAAAGTACAATATTATGCTTTTGGAATGTAGTGAAGTAAAATTTTCCAAAGAAAAACACTGATAAACTACAGACACTTTTTTTTATTTACTTGAGTAAAGTCCGTCCGTACCGTCCGCTTCTGGATTTAAGACAATTTTTTGTTTTTACGATTTTGTTTCGCTATAGTCTCATTTTCGTCAGTGAAAGTGAAAATGACAAAAATCATGGTGAAAATTATTCTTCAAAGAAATAAACACCGAACCAGAAATTTGGGGGAGTAAATAGGAAACGTTCCAGTAAAAATAAAGCAAGTACCTGTTGCATGGGCACCTGCGGCTGAGTGGGCAAGTGCTGCTGTGGGTTGCGGACTCCAGGTGCGTATTTGTACCAAAGCCAATAGAAGGCAAGCCTGCAACCATATTAGCCGAAAAAGCGTAATGGCTAAAGCTAACACTTCCGGTCTGGCAGTACGTGGGAAAGGAGACCAGAGGCCATTTTTTTGTAATGGATGTCAATGGAGGAGAGGCTTCAGTACGCTGAATAAACAGCTTTTTAGAGGAAGCGGCTTATCATTTAATGAATCGAAAGCCTATCTGCTAATCTTCAACATGTTTTACACTAAACAATACATTTGTATTTAACTATTTTTAAAGTTTACCACGAAAAAAATGTTGTTTTATAAGAGAAGTCACTGACTTTTTGCAACAGGTGGGATTCATCTTATGGCACTTCCCATTCATTCCTATGGTATCCGTAAACAGCGATTGAGTGTCGTACAACTTCAATGACATTAAGGCTGTAACATGATTGGTTATTAAGGCACACGTGATCCGAGTTAGTCGTTACGCTTTCTCCAATAGTAAATAATACAGACCCTCTCATCTCCTGATAGTAAGACCATCTCTGTTTGTACTGTGGCACTCCTCTCACCTGAGCCGTTCCTGTGGCTGCACCTGCGGCTGTGGGACGAGGGCCCATGGCCTGAGACACTACGGGGAACACAGAGCACAATCTGGATCAATGAACTGCAGAAACACACTCACCAGGCCTCATTCATGAAACTTGCGTAAATATGAGTAAATTCAGAGTAATTTGCACGTAAAACAGACCTTCCCGAAAACTCTCCTCCGGATTCACAAATGCTTTGTAAACATCAGATTTGATAGTTAAATGTCTATGTTAATGAATTCCAATAATTCGTAAATAGGGCGCTCGTGCACGCTCATTCACAATTAGCATAATCCCCGACTATGAATTACAGCTATGCAAATTGCGTGTCCAGGAACGCAGTGGAATATTCTGGTCTACTTTCTCAGGTTTGGCTCCAGTATATTGCATAAATGCAAAAAAGACTAATAGGCCATATGCCTAACAATAAATATTCAATAACGTGTGTCCACCAAAGAGTTTTTAGCCAGATGAATAAATGTCAGGCGCTCTTCTTAAAACGTTTTGGTGGCACAGCGTTTTTCCAGCTGAGACGCTTTAGTCGCTATGATTTGGAATATGCATGGTGGTAACATATTACTAGTATCTAATTTTTAAGAATTTTACTAAATATAAAAAAGCAGTAACCAGTAATATTGACTTCTCCATTGTTGTAGGCAGTCATTGTACAAGTAGGATGGGATGGGTACATTTACATTTAGTCATTTAGCAGATCCTTTTATCCAAAGCGACTTACAAATGAGGACAATGGAAGCAATCAAAATCAACAAAAGAGTAATGATATATCTAACTTGCATATATGCAAGTGCTATAACAAGTCTCAGTTAGCCTAATGCAGTACACGTAGCAAGGTTTTTAAAAAAAATTTTTTTATTATATAATAAATAAAAAGAAAACAGAATAGAAAAAGAATAGAGCAAGCTAGTGTTAGAGGCCTTTTTGCTTTTGTTAATTGTATAATAAATGAAAAGAAAACAAATAGATAAAATACTAAAAGATTAGAGAAGCTAGTGTTAGTTTTTTTTTTTTTTTTTTTTAAGAAAAAAAGCAGTTAGTAAATGAATAGAGTGCAAGTCTAAAAGGGGCAATTTTTTTAAAGAATAGAATTAGAATAGAGAGTGCTAGAGGATCAAATAAAGATGTAAGAGATGTGGTTGGTCGTATTTGTTCCACCCGTCCTCTATTTACAGCTGGGTAAATAGTGACAGTGATGAGCGCTGCATTTTACAGTTATCAACTCAGCTGCAAAAAACAATAATAATAATAATAATGATTTACAAAGAGGGCAAGGACAAATTAACTTGTAATTACTATGGCAGTGCATCAAAATTCAGTGTCATCAGTTTGCCAAAAAGAACACGGAATGTTTTACACATCATTTACACGTGGCAGGGAGCAGGTGTACATTTCTTTCGTACCGAATAACATTTTGAAAACTTTTTTCATGAATTCAAAAGTTTACGTCAGAACGGCTTTATGAACGATTTACACAATAATTCGTCCTGCTCGTGTTTCATGAATGAGGCACATTGTGTGCAGAGATGCAAACAGGTAAGGGGGGAAAAAGGTGAGAACATCGGGGGCATGCTTCACACAGAATTTCTTTTAAATATATTTACCTTACATGCTTATTTGTAGTTACTTTACACTCTTAAAAATAAAGGTGCTTCACGATGCCATAGAATAATCTTTTTTTTGTCTGAATGGTTCCATAAAGAACCTTTAACATCTGAAGAACCTTTCTGATTCACAAAAGCTTCTTTGTGGCGAAAGAAGGTTCTTCAGATTACAAAAAGGTAAGAAAGAGATGGTTCTTTAAAGAACCTTTGACTGAATGGTTCTTCTATGGTATCGCTGTGAAGAACCTTTTAAGCACCTTTATTTTTAAGAGTGTAAGGTATAGCGTCTGGACCACTCAAACACACAATATATATTTTGTTAGCTAGATTTAACAAATACTCTGTCACAGCCCAGGAAGCCGAACAGGCCCCTGGTTCCATGGCAACACTGACACCAGATACATTTACGATCTAAAGGAATGTGAGCAGAGACTCTCACTGCATGTCCCATAAGCAACAGGCAAATGCACAGTAGAAATTGACTTTTCTACTAATTAATTCATAGGAAAACCTTTCTTTGAATGAACAGTGTATCCTTCAGGTCATGGTGTATGTTGTCTTTGATATTTTTTGACTATTTTAGGTATGCTTATGAGGGAACCCATTCCTGTCATCCTTTCACTATATGTAATCCTACCTTGTTTAGTATCTATGAATTCGCCTTCTTATGGTTGAAACAAGCGTGTATATTATATGTTGGTACATAGGCAATATACAGTATATTAGGGTCCTGAGAATCTTTAGTAATTTCGATTCAAGTCCATTTGCAAATTACCATGCTTAGAGACAAAGGGTCGTAAAACCCTCCAGCAATTGCCACCTCCCGCTTGGAATTTCCATCTTTCTCATTTGACAAGCCCATCTTGAGAGGCGGGGGTCTTCTCCGACCTTAAAGGCCCCGCTCCAGGGACCCTCCCAGTCGGTGGTTCTGTTAGATTTCGATAAGATGTGAGTTCCAACGCTCCAGAACATCCTAAATTACGTGCCAGGCTGCGGCCTCAACCTTTCCATTGATCAAGATTCTCTGACTCAAAACTGGTGCTTTTCATCGACCCAAATTCAGCAAAGATCAACTGGAAACTTCAGATTACATCAAACCTCTCTTTCAGACAGATGAGACATGCAAGTATCAAACTTAGCCTTATTAATTGATACATGAGGTATCATTTGCCCCTTTTTACAAAGGTGTGTTTGAACTAAGAATCTGACATTTCCCCATGAGCTGATTCGTTACAAAGGTATTCTTTTAAATATTTTTTATTAACGTATATGTCCAAAACTGTAATCTTGTTGCATCATTTGACAAAAATCAAGATTGGATATATTTGATCAAAATCCCATGTTATAAAAGATAACACTAGCAGCTGCCAAGGGGTAATCAGTCTTACTTTTCCAATACAAATAAGACCAATCTACCTTTTCATATTAAAAAGTTATTACCAGTCTTGAAGAAGAAAACTAGAAGAAAGACTAACTTTTTAAGACTAGTCTAAACAGTTCATGCAACCCGGCCCCAGTTCTTTATTTACCCTTTCAAGACACCCCCCCCCCCCCCACACACCCTCATAAAAGCCCTTTCTCAGTGGATCTAAGCAAATCTCATAGGTGACCTATTTTGATTTTAAAAAAGTGAGTTGTCACTGAAAGGTGAGGCATTTGTATGTACGGTGCGTATAACCGTGAGGTTCAAGGCTCACCCATGCGCTGGGGTGCGATCTCCTGTGGGACCTGGAAGGAAGGACGCATGGTGCCGAAGGTTTGCGTACGGGGCATCCAGGGCCTGGCAGAGTTGGGCATGCCCTGGAAATCTGGAACGGAGATGAGAAACACAGCAGTGAAATGAAGAGCTTTGGTGGTCTGTGCAAGTGTGCGAGCGGATGTGGGCGGGGATAAGGGTGTGTGGGCGGAGACTCACGCTGAGGTTGGACACCCTGAGTGGCCCAGCGAGGACTGGGGCGGAGCTGAGCGAGCTGACTGGTGGGATAGTAAGCAGCACGATTCTGAGCCTGTCAATCACACAAAGAGAGAGAAACACAACCGGTTATGAGTAAAATCCACATCATAATTGCTGCTAATGCACGGTTACTTCCACAAAAAAGCTCAACTGTCTAATGTAAACTGCAGGTTTTATGAAGGCCAATTTACATTACATTTAGTCATTTAGCAGATGCTTTTATCCAAAGCGACTTAAAAATTAGGACAATGGAAGCAATCGCAGAATTGAACGACAGATGACAGAATTTTTATTTTTGGTGAACTATTCTTTTAATGTTAATAAAACAACAAAACACAGAAAAAAAGTATAATTGATGTATGTAGTGTATATAGTGTTTTATTTTAATATTTGTTTATTCAATTTCTTGAATGTTACTGCTAAATACTGTACCTGAAAAACAAAGTACTGTTTGTTTTATTTGTATATTATTTGTATCAGACATGATAACAGACGTTTTATACTTGTGCTACAACTTTTTGGCCCGTGCTACAAAACTTTCAACCTCTGTAGCACCAGTTCTATGTGAAAAAAAAGTTAACGTACAGCCCTGATATATACAGTATATATACACATATATATATGTGTGTGTATTTAATGTGCTGGTGGTTGTGTGTATAACCCTTCTGCTAGCTTTTTTTGTGGTGTTTCCTGGGACCTGTGTGTTTCTGTCCCTTTCTAGGGTAGGTCCTCGATGAGCACCCCCTCTGCTGGATTCAGAAACCGGGTGCTCGACTTGCAGTGTTTATCTCACTCGTCGATATATGTCCAGACGGTACGATAAGCCGGGTTTCGGCTTCATACTTCCTGGATCATGCGGCTTCTGCAGGAGCCTTCTTGGTCATCAGGCCCCTGGGTTTATGCTTTCAGGCTGCCCTGTCTGGTCTACCGTATCTAAGTTGCCTCCCGATCACCAGGATATCCCCTCTTGCTGAGGCATCGAGCGGGAAGTATAGGTGGCATTTGCGAGAACCTTCTTGTGTAATGCTGTCTCAGACAGTGCTCCCCTCACCTTAGAGGGTTGTATTTGAGCTTGTCTCTCCCGTTTGGCCCAGTACTTCCGGGTATCTGTGAACAGATTCTTGGAAAACTCTAAATCCATACTATGGTAAGTGCACACGTTAAGCTTTGCACACTTTCTAAAAATCCACATAAGTGGTAAGTGTGCACGTTATGCTTTGCCCACTTTTATGAAATCCTGTACGGTAAGGGGTACGCGTTATCAACCTCGTTCCCTTTCTCTGAGTTGGTTTAGACCCCGATACCTTGGGCTCCACTCATCTAGTGTGTCTCGGTCGACACACTCTGAAAGTATCGCTCCCCTCACCATTGAGGACTATTGTGAGCATGGTGCTTTCTTTCAAGCATTTAATTCTCTCTGAGGAGTTGGATTCCTTGCTCCATGGGCTGTTCTCGTGGTAGTGTTGAGCAGTGCTCCCCTTTTATCAAAGGGTTACCTGGAATGAGCACACTATTCCTCTGAATTCGGAGTTCTCCTCTCGCAT